AAGGATCAGCTAGGTTGTCTTCTGATGCAATCTTGGTGATCTCAACTTCTCCTCTTGCCACAATATCTCTGATAAGGTGGTATTTGCACTCTATGTGTTTGCTTGCTCTGGGGGCTCATGGTTCCCTTGAGTTTGCTACTGCACCACTGTTATCACAGTACACGGTAATAACACGTGGCAAACTCGAAATCACCTCTAAGTCCACTAAAACGTTTCTGAGCCAAACTGCTTCTTTCGCTGCCTCAGAGGCTGCGATGTACTCGACTTCCATAGTGGAGTCTGCTATGCACTTCTGCTTAGCACTTCTCCATGAAATGGCTCCACCTCCCAAGGTAAACACATAACCTGAGGTTGACTTACTTTCGTCCCTATCTGACTGAAAATCAGAATCGCTGTAACCCAGCGGAAACAAACTGTCTGCACGGTAAACTAACATGTACTCCTTAGTCCTTTTCAGGTACTTGAGTATATGTTTCACCGCAGCCCAATGTTCCCTTCCTAGATTACTTTGATATCTCGCTACCATGCCAACGACGTAGCTAATATCAGGCCTAGTGCACAACTTTGCATACATGAGACTTCTTACTGCCGAACCATAAGGAACTGTCTTCATGTCCTTGTAACGCAAAATTTCATATTATTGAATTAATAAACACGAGAAATTCGTACAAATGGATTTCAACGGATCAAATGAAACATAGTGGATTACAAATATCTATTATTCCTCTGATTAATTTCTTCAAGAACAATCTTCAAATGGATATGAGACTTTTGGAGATGAATCTTCAGTTTGATCTCCGCCGGTCTTGAATTTGGATTTAAATAACGTTTCTTCGAGGGCTTGACAGCTTGATCTCGAATCGAACATCGTGATTTCCCAAGAACGTGAGAACACGAATCCTTGGTCTTCGCCGCAAAGTTGATTTTGATCTTCTTTACGTCGGTCTTGACTTCAATAACGTAATTCAGAGGCTTGGCAACTTGATTCCGGATTGAACGTTGGTTTTAGGCTTGAACGCACTTGAAGATTCCTTCAGATCTTCAAGAACGCCTTTGGATCTTCAAGAACACTTGAATTTAATAACGCAATTCGGAGGCTTGGCAGCTTGTTTCCGGATTGAACGTCAGTTTTGGACTTGAACGCGCTTGAATCTTCCTTCGGATTTTCAAGAACGCCTTTGGATCTTCAAGAACACTTGAATTTTGTGGAGAAAAATCTCTAGAGCTCTTGAACTTGGAACTTGAATATGAATTGTGATTTTTCACCTTAGCGAGGGTCCCTATTTATAGGTGTTGGGAGAGAGAGTTTTGAAAAAGAAGACTTCAGTTTGATTGGTCCATAATTTTCAATATTTATCTCTTAATAATTATTTAAATAGATAATTAGGAGAGAGAGTCTTGAAAAAGAAGACTTCAATTTGATTGGTCCATGAATTTCTATTTATTTATCTCTTTAATAATTATTAAAAGAAATAAATATTTATTTTACTCTCTAAGAAAATGACATGTGGCATTCTTTAATTGGCCTTCAAAATATACATGTGGCAATCTTTAATTGGCCAACAATATATATTAAATAATCAATTAATTAGCTATTTAATTTAGGAATTAAAATTTGATTAATTTCCCAAATAAAATAGAAAATTATTAAATTGGTTTTGACATGGAATTTGACACTTGTCGCCATTTGATTGACTCAAAATTTAATTGCCTACAAATTCCCCCTCGAGACTTGTTCACGGACGAAACTTCTTGGAGTGAATAAGTCACGAATTCTGATCTGATTTGGACTTGGAGGACCGGATATAGAGGCATTGCCTTATTGGGCCTTTGGAATTTATTTGATTAGCGTTGGGCTAAAAGACACTTTAGTGGCCCAACACAATATAAATCGATTTAAGAAACTCCAAACCATTATTGGGCCTTTTCTTAAATTGATCCCACAATTATATATAGTCAAATTCTTATGTCCAAAGACTATCTTCATTCGTCCACTAATCAACAAATAAAGTCCCATCCTCCAGCCCATTAACAAACAAATTTTGCACATCAATTTAGCCCATTTTTGTCATCATTAATTGTAACTTTCAGAACAACAAATTAGCCCTCCACATATGGCCCAAGGAAATAAATCTTAACGTATAACACATCAAGATTTTATTTGGCATTCACTTAGCCACATAAGAAGTCCAAAATTGATGGAGAATTGGAG